GAAAACTGATTATTTGAGTGAATATTCTAAGTTCAAGGACCATAACTCTGCACAAAATCGTCAGACCAGAACAAAATTCGAACATGATCTGTAACTTGTCATGATTAAACAATACACCAAATATCAAATCAATATCTACAAGCACGAAGAAAAAAAGTGTGGAAAACTGGTTTGTCGGACTGACGGATGGACAGACAGACGGAGTGCAAACCTAAAGTCCCATTCGACTTCATTGGTAGGTGACTAATTAAAGAGAGCAGTGGTTTGCAAATTTAAATTTTTGGACTACTTCACTGATTATTTTTGAAGTTCATGTTGAAAGTCATCCAGATTAATGTCCTAGTAAAAACGTAACATTATAAATGATTAAGGTTAGAGAACTATATCAGACAGACATACAATTATTAAATACAAAAAATATAGTTCAATGATTTCTTACATTACCTTAGAAAGAGACATAATCACAAGTACTAACCATTAACTAATGAACCATGAGATCAAGGTCAAGAAAACTGTATCCGACAGATATGTATACCTTGCATTAACTGATACCAAATACACTTAACTATTGCTCACAATAAAGATCACATCAAGGACTTTTTACATTTTCATTTTGTCAAAAATATTCTAATAGTTTTATGAACTTTAAAGTTTCGCCAGAAAAAAAAAACTAAATATTTGATATAAAATGATACTAAACTGACAAACTGAGAAGTAAAAATGTTTGTCAATGCTGCATAATATTTAAGCACAAGTTTTTTATTTTTTATTAATCTAGCCTAACAATCAACCTTGGGCACTTGGGCATACAAACTACTACTTGAACCATGGTTATCTACTGTTGCAAGAAAGAGTACATTACTGGATGGAAACACGAAAAAGCATCACTTTAAATACTAACTTCCTAGCAAAGGGTAAAGCTCCATCTTGATGGTCACAAACATGTGTTCATATAAACATCACCATACTGAATATTGCATTACCAACAGGAATTTTAAACTTTAATTATCATTCCATCAAAGTCAGTCTGCTATTGCGTACTAATGGCTCATCTCTTCATCTAAATGATCCTTAATGACATGTGTTTATTTATTTTAATCAACAAATTGATATACTAGTAACATGATACAAAATCATAACAAAGTGACAATTATGACTACATGCACAACATCTATTTATCATTCTCACATACTTCCTCATTCATACTAAAATGAACATTTGATTTCAGAAAACAAATATCAACATGATCAATTTCAATCTAAAATTTACATTTCCAATCCGAAGGAAAGAGTTGTTTTCATGAACGTTGTTTACACACATACTTTCTAATACTTCCATAACCTTTACAAATTGGAAGATTCTTGTTCATTAGTGCCCTTTGAACACTGACAGAAAATCTTCTTTAGAAATTCAAAGGCAATCTAGTCAAGGAGTACCAAAGCAGATCTTAGTTCAAGACTGACTTGTTTAAGTTGCCATAATGAACAATGATTGAGTGTGGCAACTGTCATGTTTCTCATCAGCATATGCATTCAAGTTTCTACACATTTGATGTTTTTAAAAATATTACAGTCAATCTCTTCATGGGTAGTAATGAGAACCATATGTTGTCCAGTGTTGTCCATACCCAGCAGCATAGCTTGAATTCTGAAAAAAAATTAAAAAAAATTCAATAATACTTTGAGAACACAGTGAAAAAAACATATATCAAAAATAAAGATTAACTTACATGTAAAACTATAAAAGGCCTGAGGTATTATTGAAAACATACAATCTTCATGTATTTAACTCAGAACTTGACTAATTTATTCGTGGTACACATAAAACCTCTAAAAATAGTTCAGACAGCCAAGGATAGTGTCATCAATAATAAATCAGGTTGTAGTTGCGAAACCATATCCTTTACTTCATCACCACTATTTTCAATGGCCATTGTACAAGATCATTCTTTTTTTTTTATAAACTATCAATTATGTACGAAATTGTTTTGTCAGTACTGTAGCTGATATTCAAATGCAAATACACCAGGTAAAATACTTTGAGCTAGTTTAATCAATTCTTGTTAATAGAAATAATAAACTGTTATCACAGAGATATGTCTCGCCTTTTTGTAATTTTGATAATGCAAATGTTGAAATTAAAATTGCAATACTTTAACATGTAAGTTATGCAAATATTCAAAGTCGATGAACCATGACTGAAGGTACATGGCTAAACAATCTCCATGGAATGAGATGTGCCAATGCTAATACAACTGCATATCAAATACCATGGACTTATTATAAGTCGTTCCCTTAAAACAAACCTAAACACAAACATTAACTTGTAAACTATGTAAAAGATTCAAAGTCAATGAACCATGATCAGGGGTGGGGCTATATAATCTCCATGGAAACGATACTTGCAAATGCCAATAAATTTGCATACCAAATCTCAATGACTTAACATAAGCTTTTCATCTTAAACTGATCTAATCACAACCTAATACATGTAAACTAAACAAAAGTTTCAAAGTAAATAGACCATGACTGAGGGGGCGGGGCCAAATATTCTCCATGGAAATGAGATGTGATAATGCTTATACAACTGAACACCAATTAACATTGGCCTACCACTAATGGTTCCCCTTGAACTGACCTAATCACAAACTAATACATGTAAAACTTAGCAAAATTTTCAAAGTCTATAGACCATGACTAAGGGGGCGGAGCCAAATAATCTCCATGGAAATGAGATATGCCCGTGCTTATACAACTGCATACCAAATATCATTGACCTACCACTAGTGGTTCCCCATAAATTGACCTAATCACAAACTAATACATGTTAACTTTGAAAAGTTTCAAAGTCAATAGACCTTGACTGAGGGGGCAGGGCCAAATAATCTTCATGATAATGAGATGTGCCAATGCTAATACAACTGCATACCAAATATCATTGACCTACCACTAGTGGTTCACCATGAACTAGGCCTAATCACAAACTAATACATTGTTGACGCCGCCGCCTGAAACAACATACCTATGTCTCGCTTTTTGACTCTGTCAAGGCGAGACAAAAATGAATGGGGCAAATGTCAACGAGGCAGCAACTTAACAGCACTGTTAAGAAAAATAAAGTCGAAAAATTTCAAAAAATCAAAAGGGAACTTCCTTTTATCAATTCCCACAATTAAGTAAAGTTTGGAGGAAATCAATCCAGAAATACTCGAGCGTGATTTGTGAAAAATAGCCTTAAATTAAAAATCGTAAGGGAGCTTCCTATCATCAATTGTCACAATCTGGTACAGTTTGGAGGAAATCAGTTAAGATACTGGAGTTTTTGTGAAAAATTGCCTTATATCTAATGGTTAAAGTTCTGGAATATACAAACCAAAAAAAATTAAAAATTAAAAGAGAGGTTTCTTCTGTCAATTCTTATGTTGTGTTAAAGTTATATTACAACTGGTTAAAGCAGGTTTCAGTTATCGTATGAAGTGTTGACGGACTGATGGACATTGGTATACCATGATATGTCCCTTCATCGACAAGTCTATAAAAATAACATAGACCACTTTCAAAAAAAATTTGTAAACAAATTTGTGGTTTCAGTTTATAAAACTTACATTATATGATCCCCAGTATGGGTAACTACCATGTTCTGTACCAGCAGACTGTGACATTGACTCACCAGCACCATTTGTTGGAGGTTCACTTTTCTGTTTTTTCTCAGGTGGCTCTTCACTCAAACTCCTGTTCAAATATTAAATAAAACAGTGAAAGGAGTGACACATTTTATAATTTTGGCTATTCCAGGAATAAATGTATGGTTGGGTTGGACAACACTTTTTATACCCCACCACTGATAACTTATTTTCATTCATAACAGAATTGTATTTGTTTTAACTCCTATTACCAACAGAAAAAATAAAGCATGTAATGTCCAACCCTCCAATATAGTTTTTCCTGAAATAGCCACCAATGTAAAAGAAGGTATATAATGTATTAAATTGTGACACACATTTAACAAAACTGACTTGTATTTCTGTTCTTCCTCTCAAAAGTCACAATTCAGCCTTCAACATGGAGCAAAAGATCACAGATATAATATATTCCTAAATGTGTATATTCATATCCCTTTTAAGTAGTCTCTTGGCATTTAATGAGATGAAAATACATATATCAAAATTTCCAGACATTTAATCAAGACAGAATAGCAATTTAAAAAGACTGAGACTAATAATATATTTGTGGTTATTCACATAACAGATAAGGTATTAGGTATATATTGAAAAGCTATGCCACATACAGAAAATGATTTTGAAAGACTAGTGTTATAACAATGTAGTTGCATTGCATTGTATTTCAACCTAATTTACAGGAATTGAAGAGTTTTCCCACCCATAACTCTTTAAAATACTAAAATCAAATTGTAATTCAATACTAACTGTGTATAATTAGCAGCATCATAACTTCTTTTCTTTCTCTCTGTATGTAAATCTTTCATCAATTTCTGGTGTTCATCATAAGCATCTTTTAATCTGTCAGCAAAAATTCATAATAAATAGAAAAAGTCCAGTTAAACATCTTGATAGTTGCCCACATACACAAAAATTGGGAGAAATATTTTGAACTGACTTTGTTTCTTGAGACCAAAGTATATGTTGTTAAATTTTACATAGATCATCCGAATGATGAAGATATTTTCAACTGTTGGTCAAGTATCAATAAACAAATCTTACTTTCAATGCTGTATCGCCTTGAACATGCGTGAAATATTTGCCCCTGCAACCAACAATCAATTCAATGCTTTACATTGAAACTGTCATTAGTAGTTTCTTTTTCTCTTTTTACTTTGGATAAAAACAATCTATATTTTGCAATCAGATCATGCTTCATAGTATAAATTTATGAAAAGTATATTGTCCTAGGTTTAACTAATTTTTTTTTAAGTATTATTCTATGTTCATTTTTTTATAATCGTTTTAAAAGACATATATATACACAATTATCTATGGTGTACAGTTCAGACAGCCAAGGATGGTGTAATCATTATTATCAGTATAAATATGCGAAACCATTTCCTTTGCTTCATCACTACTGTCAGGTTCATACACTTGTAAAATTAAATGTTTTTCTTTGGTATTTTCATGGGCATCCCACCACTTCGAGAATTTCTTCAGAGGTTAAAAAGTACCGTTAACAGTAAAATGGAAAATACATTTATAGAAAGCCACTAGAAGTTCAGCTGTCGCCTGTTTAAAAGTTGTCTGAGCCAGCTATTTTCTTGATAAAACAGAATTAGTACAATTTTACAGGCTTTTATGACTGCTATACAGCAAAATAATAAACCCTCTTTCAAGACCGTGAGTGAAAAGACTACAACAATTATATCAATTAGTAAACAATGTAGCTGAATTCATCATTTCTGCATATTTTACTGTCACACTGCACAAAACATTTTATTCATGTTATTTGTAATGTTTTACATAATTTAGATCACTTTATAATTTTGTAAACACAAAAACGTTTTTCTGCTTTTTTTACCTTTAGTAACTTACTTTTTTATATCTGAACAAAAATCTTCTAAAAATTCCAATTTTCTTTGCGACATTTTTGCCTTAGTTTCTAATGAGAAGTTTTCACAGTTCAATAAACTTTCAAACAGTATGTTGACTTTTTCTTCGTCGACAGGAGTACATTGATATTCCAAGTCCAGTGTTTGAAGGTATAACTTAAGATTTCCCTACAAAATTAAATTAAAAATTATTACACGACAAAAATTAAAAACAACAATTGATTATATCAGTTACTTTGAAAGTGAGATATCAAGTTTCACAGATTCTGTGGTAAATCAAATCACAACTTTTATTAACAGCAACTAAATGTTTTTCTATTCATGGGACTGAAAAATTAGTTCCATTTCTCATGTATTCCGTGTTCTATGTAAAAAGCTACTCCAGTTCCATCTACAGATGTTTGACAGTGTCTCTCATGAAGTAATGGTGGAGCATTCAAGACTGGAATTTGAAGGACTTTACACTGAAATGTCATGAAACATATTCTATTACTGTTAAGATATTTTAATTGATTTGAATAGTTCAGACAGCCAAGGTTGGTGTAATCATTATTATCAGTATAAATATGCGAAACCATGTCCTTTACTTCATCACCACCGAAAAAGGCAGCATTCTATTGATGTATTTCTTGTTTAATATGAAACTGAGTTTTATTAATAGAACTTTCATAACATTTCCAGAAAATGTGTGGTATTCAAGCTTACAGAGTTTTAGCTAACACAGCCCAATCTACTTATATCTTTGGAAAGTGACTCCCATTGAAAGACCATTTCATGAAAATGTCACGAAACAAATTCTATTACTGTTTAGATATTTTTGTTTTTGTTTTGAAAATGTCATAAAAACAAAATCTTTTTTATTGTTTAAATGTTTTAGTTTATAAAACAGTTCAGACAGCCAAGGTTGGTGTAATCATAATTATCAGTATAAATATGCGAAACCATGTCCTTTACTTCATCACTACTGCACAAAGGCAACACTCTATAATCAAGTATTTCATGTATAATATTAAAATGAATGTTGGTAATAGAAAACAAAAGGGTTATCTAACTAGAACAAATAAGAAATAATAAGCATTGTGTATAAGTTTCATAACATTTGGTTGAGGCAAACTCAAGTTAAAGAACAGAAACCAATTTTGGGATGTAAGTAGGAAGTACGGACAAGGGTAAAACTTAATGCCCCCACCGCTACGGCGGGGGCATAAAAACATCATAGTACTTTCATAACAGCTCGTGAAAATGTGTGGTATTCAAGCTTACAGAGTTCTAGCTAACTGGCTCATATTCAAAGACCTTTAGGCCAATTAAAATTAATCGATAGATTTTCATCCCCGCCCGCCCCTCTGAAATCGTTCTGCCATAATTTTTTTTATTTTGAAAAATTTATGATTTCCGGATTTTGTTCATTTTCGTTACCGGGAACTGTCGATAATTTCGTTTCATTAACAACTTCCTGTTTCAAATTTTGGTTTTTGCATTTTTTTGGGTAATTTAAAATGAGCAAGTCAATATATTTTCCTGCTCTATGATGACAACATCATCAACCGAGAATCGATATTGATTACATAAGAAGGGCATAAAATATCCAGGATACAAGTAACACATTGTGTCCAAGAACGCACATCGTGGTATGTCACACATTTCTGTGATAATCGAAAGCCGTGGATTTCTTTATTTAAACAATGATTTTGTGTCAGGGAATTAGGACTGTGAATGATATCCAAAACGAAAAAATCTAGAACACATTGGTACAAAAACATGACTGGATTAAAGAAATTGACACAAGCACGATTTTGTTCGATTTATGACTGTATATGGAGTTCAAAAAGTCCGCAAACATTCACGTTGTGTTATTATATACCATGCACTTAGATTTACCCATGGCTGTCGTTTTTTGTTGACAAACAGCAAACACCCTCTGTCCGAATACCCTCAAAAGAGTCATTAAACAAATGTCATTAAACAAATGAGTTTTCATTTTATTCTGTACTTCAAATACTTGTGTTGCATACCAATGCATTTGCTTCATTTTAATGAAACTACAAACCATCCATTAGACAGCAAACAAATTTAGTGCAGGTAGTCCAATAGAAGAGAGCATTTCTCCTCATATTTTGCTGTATACTAAAAATAGACGCAATTACATGTAGAACAGTGGTTACCAATCAGAGATATGTATTTAAGAATTTGAAAAATTATGTTTGATTCGTTATACATGTATATACATGATAGAACCTTATTATTACACTGACATATATGAAGAACACGTCACAAGAGCGTTTCATATCTAATAAAAAATAATAAATAAAATCCTCCCACCCGCCCCATTTTTTTCAAAAATTTAGTTGGCCTTACATGAAAATGTCATAAAAACAAAATCTTTTTTATTGTTTAAATGTTTTAGTTTATAAAACAGTTCAGACAGCCAAGGTTGGTGAAATCATAATTATCAGTATAAATATGCGAAACCATGTCCTTTACTTCATCACTACTGCACCAAAGCAACACATGCTAACAGAGTTCCAGCTAACACAGTCCAATTCTACTTGTATCTTTGTAAAGTGACTCACATTCAAAGGCCTTTACATGAAAATGTCATGCAACAAAATCTATTACTATTTAAATGTTTTAGTTTATAAAACAGTTCAGACAGCCAAGGTTGGTGTAATCATTATTATCAGTATCAATATGCGAAACCATGTCCTTTACTTCATCACTACTGCACCAAGGCAACACTCTATTGAAGTAGTTCTTGTATAATATGAAACTGAGGGTTGGTAATAGAAAAATAACTAAGTTTATCCAACAAGCACAATTAAGAAAAAAACATCACAGTACTTTCATAACATTTCAAGAAAATGTGTAATATTCAAGCTTACAGAGTTTTAGCTAACACAGCCCAATTCTACTTATATTTTTGGAAAGTGACTCCCATTGAAAGGCCTTTACATGAAAATGTCACGAAACAAAATATATTACTGTGTAAATGTTTTAGATTATAAAACAGTCCAGACAGCCAAAGTTGGTGTAATCATTATTATCAGTATAAATATGCGAAACCATGTCCTTTACTTCATTACCACTGCAGCAGGTCAATACTCTATGGAAGTGTTTCTAGTATATGTAAATGAATATTAATACTGGTATAAAAATAAGATGTGGTGTGAATGCAAATGAAACAACTATCCACCAGAGCCTAAATAATGTGGATGTATTAATGCCAACTACATGTCTAGTTTTATACTAGGTAAATTCAACAAACACCTAACCGAAAAATATTACAGTAATTTCATAAGTTTTTGAAAATGTGCACAATTCAAGCTAACCAAGATTCAGCTAATTGCAGTCCAACGCCATGTTATATCTCTTATAAAGTAAGGAGCATTTAATGCTCCCATTTGAAGGACCTTATATGAAATTGTCATGAAACAAATTCTATAATTGTTCGATATTTTAGTTTATTTGAACAGTTCAGACAGCCAAGGTTGGTGTAATCATAATTATCAGTATAAATATGCGAAACCATGTCCTTTACTTCATCACTACTGCACCAAGGCATTCAGTATTAAAGTATTTCTAGTAAATGTAAGTGTATGTTGGTAACAGTAAAAAGATTGCTTCCAGTATAAAATTAAGATGTGGTATGAATGCCAAAGAGACAACTATCCCCCAGAGCCTAAATAATGTGGATATAAGCAAACTGTATGTCTAGTTTAATACAAGTTTCTTCAACAAGTATAGAAGAGAAATAATCACAAGTTTCAGGAAATGTGTGCTATCTAGGCTAACAAAGATTCAGCTAATGAAGTCCAACTGCCAGTTATAAATTACATCTTTTATAAAGTAAGAAGCAATCTAGACTCGCATTTAAAGCACCTTACATGGAAATGTCATCAAAATATATTCTATTACTGTTAAGATATACATGTATTTTAATCTATTTTAACAGTTCAGACAGCCAAGGTCGGTGTAATCATAATTATCAGTGTAAATATGCGAAACCATGTCCTTTACTTCATCACCACTGCACAAAAGCAACACTCTTTTAAAGTCTTACTTGCATAATATGAAAATGAGTACAGATAGTAGTAATGGATTACTTTGGGATTGAAGAGATTTTATAGGCCAAATGGCTTCTCTGTTCATATAACCTCAAACAATGCAGTAGCTGCTATCTTAGGTATCTTTAAACACACGAGGCTTGCAACTTCTAATGGTCATTTAGAAATTTTTTTTAGAATATTTCCCATAAATATGTTGCATGTACACTATGAATGTAATAGAAACTTTGAATGTGTTCAGAATCAATGAATACCTGGATGTGAGATCACCTTAAGAGGTCCATGATTGCTAAAAAATTCGTAAGGGTTCAGCGGAACCCAGTGTCTCGCCTACTTTTTCTGTTAATCGCAGGCTCAACAAAAATGAGGAAGTAAATCAATAAAAATATTCCACTTGATACTATCTTTTGATTGTAAGAAGCTTCTGTCCAAGTTTGGTAAAAATCCAGGATAGTTTATGA